CGCTAAATCAAATAAGAGAAGATTCTTCTGTTTTATCTGATTTAGAAGGAAAGTGGCCTTGGGTGGCCTAAATACTTTGTCCATTCGAAGGCTCATCAGAGGACTGAGAGTCCAAGATAGTTCCTTGATAATTTGACTCGAGGTGACCCCTTCAATGCTAAGTTCTTAAAACCAACTAGATTAAATATCATTTTACAATTTTTTTTATCAGCCTCTCTTTACTTCTTACATAATAAAGCTGAGGTCCAGTCAGTTTCAGTTTGTAAGTTCTGGCCTAATTTGGCAGACTATAAAGAATGACATGCCTCATTTCTGACCCAACTATTTTGAAAGAGTTTTACAGATTTCCATTTGTTTCTAAATTTTGGATTGATGCATCAATCCATGGCTGATTTTAGCTTCTTCTTTTCCACTTGAAACTATAGTAAAACAAATATCTCCCCCTGATACAAACTTTACAACACACCAAAAAAAAAAAAAAAATACAAGTAACTGAAGTTAATTTAAACAAAAAACCTTCACAGGTTGTGTATTTATCAAGTAGTTGATTATAGATGTGTAGAATCGATCGAAAACACATGGACTTTGCTGAATTACCAAATATTTTCCTTTCCAAAGTGTGCAGTCCCGGGGGACATCTCATGGGCCTCATCGGGTTTTTGTTCCTCACTCACCTATGGACTTGCAACTAGGTCACCGGGTCAGGATCATGCTGCCATCTGGCAGGATCAGCACAGGAACTGTTCGCTTCCTGGGCCACCTGCAGGGGGAGGCAGACCTCCACCTCGGAGTGGAGCTGCAGGCTCCTGATGCAGCTCTGTGTGACGGCAGTCACAGTGGACAGAGCTACTTTCAATGGTAACTGCTTTCATTTCCAAAGAAGTCACATTATTTATGGTCGAATGATGACGAGCAGGTTCATGTAGGGTCATTTGCAGCATTTCCCTATTTTTTTTTACAAAGTCATTCTGCTGCTTGGAAACTGTTCTGTTTTGTTACCTTCTATTGTCTACAGTTGATGTTCTTTCATTAATAAATCTCACATTAGTTTATTTCTCATGAACAGTTTGATAAAAAAAATACATTGAAACACGCAGTAGGGCCTACTTCACTTGATCTACTGTATTTCAGTGCAACCTGGGGGAGGGTGTGGAGGAAATTAGTTAAAATAACTAAAAATCGGTAAACTCAATTCCTTTTTTTTGTCTTTTCCAAATAAATGTTTGTAACTATTCACTTTTTTATTATTTTGATAAAGGTTGAATGGGAGAGGTGGAGGGTAGTGAGGGAAACGGGGGCTTTCAGGAAGACAGGTTGGGAGTGTAACACAATTCTCTTACACTTTCTTTTATATTTACTCAACTTGGTTTAGTGTAAGAAGTTGGCATGACTTTGTTAAGTAAATACAACACTTTACGTTTAGAGTGTATATAATTTTTATTCACATTGCACTGATTTAGCAAATCTCAAGCCTGTTCAACAAACTCAAATTACTGATCTAATAGGTGAGGYATGAGACTGCCTGGGTAAACTTGTAGCAGTAAAGTTGTAAAAGTGTATCCATGTAAATATWTTTTTTTAAATCGGGTCACTTCTCTGCATTGAATCTAACAATATTTGTTTCTTTGCAGCAAGCCTGGATATGGTGTCTTTGTGCCCTTCCACAAACTGCTTATGGCCTGGGAGTGACTACATCCACATCAGGGAGCGTTTCTCACAGATATGTCAACAAATAGTATTTAAATTATGTTGTGGATAACCTTTAAGCCAAATTTTGTATCAATACCCCCAGAAAAGACACGTGTGACTGTTGACATCTTCATTAAGATTTATTAATCATTATATCATTTTCTATTTACTGTATGACCACAGTTTTTATCTCTTTGTAACAGTTACAATTAAATATACCAGTTTTAAAGTCAGTTTTATTTCTGTAGAGCTTTTCAAGGATTCAGACCTCAACTTTGTGAACCATTAGTCTAAACCAGGTGAAATAAACCACATGTATTCTTTTCTTCAGACGTTTAAATAAATCCTGTACGAGTGAACCTGGTGTAAAAGTCACTTCAATACATTTTTCCAACACAGTACATTTGAAAGTTTAGTTTTCTGCCTGGACAACTACACCTCTGCTGCCAATTAAATTGTGTGAAAGGGCTGAGTAACTAAAACACCATGCCACCGGCTTTGATCACAAGGTGACACAACTGCTTGACTTTAACACACATGCTAATTTCCTGTGGGCGGTGTGCATAACCCACATTTTTGAAATAGTCAAAGCAGAATCACAAGAGTTAAATTTCACAAGGTTTAGCCATGACAACTCTGAATGTATGACCACATACAAGAGTTATTTTGGAAAAAACTGCTTAAGGTAAAAAAAAAACAACCTCTTTTGTGTTTTCTTAGAATGGAATTTGAAGAAATGCTTTCATTTTTCTACTTGGTTGCTTTTGGAAACAAACTCTACCTGAATTACCCTTTCAAGCTTGACCTGAAGATATTAGCTGTTTTCTAATACTAAAAAAACTTTTTGAATAAATTCCAATATGATAAAATTGTGATCCTGGAATTCCAAATATGTCACAGTATCAGGTTTAATCTTTGATAAACCTGCTTGTTAGCTGTTTAGCCAAAAAGATTATTTCAGGGACACTAACAGTATTTTATTTTGCTCACAATATACAGCGGGTAAAATAAGTATTGAACACGTCAACATTTTTCTCAGTAAATATTTTACTAGAGGTGCTAATGACATGAAATTTTCACC